AGTCTGAGCACAGCAAAGTGCTACAAGCTGGGTTTACATCTCAATCTGAGGTGTCCCAAGGCCTGATAAACTGAGGGAAAACCCTTGCTGTGTTAATGCACAATGACATTTTGGGCAAGTGTTGGAAAATACGGCTGGGATCGACTTTGAGAAGTTGCCTGGCCCAGTTCCCTGGGACTGGCTTTGCTGTGATGGGTGGATGCCTGACCTCTTTGCAAGGAGCTGCTGGTAGAGATTTCTCAGTTTCTGTAGTGAATTTGTCCCAGCACTTTAGTGCTGTAAAGAAGTCTCCTCTTGCTGCAATTTCCCCCCATTACTTCTAAATCTCCCCCCAGCTGACATGGAAAGCTGTTTCTTCATGAGAGGAATTTCAAGATGCCTCAGCTGCCACTCTATTTCCTTCTCTCACCTTCCAGGTCCTGTTTTCCAGAACCTGTTCTTTCCCTATAAACCCTTGGTAACCAGTTCCCCAGTTAAGGCTTTGTCATATCCTTGTTTTTCTACCTTCTGAGTGCTGTGGATGAAGGTCTGGCTCTGGGGAGCCCACCCTGTGCTCAAGGAACCATCCCTGCAGTTCTTTTAATCTCCCTCTGCTGCTGTTGTTTTGGACTTTGGCACTGCTGAGGGCTTCTTAGGCACTTGCTGTAATGAAAAATATCCAGGAAGCTTTTCTTTTTCTAAGGCTAGAATGGTTTCTGCAGGTCCTTGAGATGTGACCCTGTTTGTTAAAAAACAACAAATTTCAGGTGCAAATTCACACAGGTTTCCTCCCCTGAACCCTGTGCTCTGTCTTGCTCTCTCCACAGTTCATTACTTTTTAATCTCAACAATTGCTAAGGAAACCTTTCTAAACTTGTCAATTGGCAATGCAACTGCTTTTTAATTTAGTTTTAATATAGTTTTTGAAATCAGTCTCTGCCTGTCCTATTGATTTGAACTCTTGATTAAGTTGCTGCTTAACTAGCTCTTTGCTGCTTTAAAGCCTTTCTCCAAGGGTCAAAGAATGATATTTAAGGAAGGGAAGGAGTATTGTCCAGTAGTTGTTTTTTAAATGTAGTTTATTAAACTAAATTTCTTTAAAAGCAGTTTTGATTTTTAAAGTGAAATTAAGGCACTTGAATTATATATATATATATATACATATATATATCCTCCATTCAATTTTTGTGGCTGGTTTTCATAATTAATGTACTTTATACTTGGTTGTCATCAGATGGTTTCCTGAACTGAGGTCCCTTGAAGTGATCAGGCTTACAGAAACTTAAGAGCCTTGTTCTGCCTGTGAAAAATTAAGAGGTTTTTTGACGACAAGGTTATATGTTTTGGAAAATCTTTAGAACGTTGTGCACCTTTCCAGCTCTGGGAGGGGATGGTCACTTCTTACTCTGATGGATGTCAGGGGAGCAGACTGCTCAAGTGAGATCTGCTGGGAGCTCCTCTGCTCTGTGGGTGTCTTTCTGCAAATGCTGGAAGTGTTACGTAGTAACTATGAAATATATCTTCTATATATTTATTAATGTATATGTATATTTAATAATGGTTTTAAACTGATAAAGTTTAGAAGTTCTTGACTGTGAGAGTGATGAGACACTAGCACAGGTTGTGACCCCAGGTTGTCCCATTCCTGGAAGTGTTCAAGGCCAGGTTGGACTTCAGCAAGGCCTTTGACACCGTCTCCCACAGCATATTCCTGAAAAAACTGGCAGCCCACGGCTTGGACGGGGCACTGTGCTGGGTTAGGAACTGGCTGGAGGGCCGGGCCCAGAGGGTGGTGGTGAATGGTGCTGCATCCAACTGGTGGTGTCCCCCAGGGATTGATCTTCGTTCTGACATTTGGTATCTCTGCAAACAAATCCATTCCCCTGTGCTTGAGTTGTAATCATCTTTCATTACATAATCACAACTGCTTTTCCCAAAGAACTCCAGCCAGTTATTGCTCGGAGTGAATGATGGTCAATTAAGCACCTAGCAGTTATTGTTTTGCTTAATCCTTATTGTTCTTTATAAAGCACATTAAGGTGTCAAAGTATGTAAACTAAGGGTTGAATAACAGGCAGTAAAGACTGATGAATGCTGGATGAGTGTTTCTACAGGTCTTGTCCTTTGTTTTCCCCCAGGAAAACAAAGTAAAAAATAATATATTATCCATGTGAGATGTTTTTTATGGAAATCTGGAAGATTTTCTTGTATTCTTTTGGCTAAATTTTCCTTAGCTCCTTCCCTGGTGACAGACAGAAAGACTGATCTCTGGTGGCAAAGCATCTGGCTTGTTTACAATGGTCCTGCAGTTTTCTGTTCACACAAAGTGTGTTTCAACATGCGCAGTCCTGTCTTACTTTGAACCTGATCATGTCTTTATCAACCCAACTGCTAAATGATGCACTCTTGGCCAGACAGTTGCAACAGTAACTCAGTGTTGGGATCAGGAATTCAAAATGCTCTTTGTGTGAAAGCATATATGCATTCAGTATGGAGAGTGGGTGGTGATCAACTGGGCAGCAAGGACATACCATACACACTAATTCTGTTCCACTAAAACTTCATCTCTTTCAGTGCACAGGTAAAAATATACCTTCAAACCCTCCTCCTTCTCCCTCCCAGCCACTTCACTGATGGTCAAACTCAGCTCAAGCACCACCGAGTTTAGCCCTAAACAAAATGTGCTTTTGGTAAACATAATGAATTAGAGACTGAAATGAGAATATAGAATTCATTAATTTCCCCACAAAACTTGTGGCTTACCACATTTGCAGGTTCTGAAATAGATGCAATAGTCCTATAAAACATAGCTTACACCTTTCCCAGGCCTAGCTTTGGGTCCCTGAAATAACGCACTTGGACCTAGAAAAAGATTGTTTAAAAGAGAATTCGATAGGAAAGTGTGGCTTTCTCCTTTGACAATCCCCAATTTTCCATCAAGTTCTGCAGGCATCACAAGACTTCCTTCAGCACTCCTCCCTGAGGTGGTCTCTGCAAGCTCAAGGTAAGAAAAATCACAATTCTTCCTGAGTCTAAGAATTTTTTGGCAACTAGAGCTGTTTCACTGTTGTTCATTAATTTTTTTTGGTGTTTTTTTCTTACCAGAAGGGAGACTGTCCTTTTTCTGTTATTTTTTGGCTATAAATACATGGTTCATGAAATTTACGGTAATATCTTTATATCTTTTATGAAAAAAAACCAAATCTAAATGGCATAGAATTGGTAATTACAGAAAGCTCTACCTTACAATAGTTACAGCATTCTACTAGTCACCCATTTATGTAAAGCACATAAATGGCCCACAAAAAGGATGTTTCTGTGCATTTAACTTGAAAAGATGTTATTCAATAAAAATGTCCTTAATTTACTGGTATTATGTCATATAACTCCTTTCATTTTGCTTTGCTCCTCATTTAAAAAAGAAGAGATGAATTCAGAGAAATCTGCTGTTCACATAAAGATGGATTCCTGCCAAAATTTGTTGTTTGGTTCACAACCTTGAGATAATTGAGCTCTTTATTTTGCTAGTCTTATGCCTTCTTCGAGATATTTTATTGAAATTTCAAAACAAGCAAAGAAACAGGGAATCCATTTCAGATGGATTCCTGTAGGGAAAGTGAGACTAATTTCCATTTCGAAGTAAAAATCGCAATCGTGTTCAAAGTTAAGGCTCATGTATGAGAAAAGACAATGAAAATTTATGAAAAGATGATGCCTGTGATTGCATCTTTCATTAAAACTTCAGATGGAAGTTGGGCTGAACATATATGGGAAGAGGACTATGAAGACTCTTCATTAATGGTACAAAATTTAGAGGCCTGGCTGAGGACATAGTGCACTAGGGTGACTCTACAGTAAAAGACAAGAGCAGATGGAGTGCCAAGAGTGGCCCACACACTGCACAGGAGAGACAGAGGGTAAGGGCTTTGTTTCCTAAGTGGAAAGGCAGTTCTTCGCTTAAAGCAATGCATAGGAGTTGGCACTCCATGGACATAGAGAGATTCTTGTGCTGTCACCTTTTCTCTGGCAGGAATCTTCGTCCATATGCCATTTTGGCAGTCAGACTGCCAAGAGTGGCCCACACAGCGCGCAGGAGAGATGGAGGGAAAGGGTTTTCTTTCCTGGTTGGAAAAGCAATCGTTCGCATGCAGGAGCCCGGAGCTGGAATTGGCAGTATGATTCCCAAAATTGCATACGGATGAAGATTCCTCCCAGACAAAGGGTGCCAGCACAGAAAGCTCTCTGTGTCCATGGAGTGACAAGAGTGGCCCACACACTGCACAGAAGAAACAGAGGGTAAAGGCTTTTTTCCAGGGTGTAATTGCAGTCCTTCACTTGCAGGAGCAGTGCACTGGAATTGGCAGTCTGACTGCCAAAATTGTACATGGATGAAGATCCTTCCCAGACAAAAGGTGACAGCAGAATAATGTCTCTGTGTCAATGGAGTGCCAAGAGTGGCCCACACACTGCACAGGAGAGACGGAGGGTAAGGGTTTTGTTTCCTTTGGTGGAAACGCAGTTCTTCTCTTGAAGGAGCAATGCACTGTAATTGGCAGTCTAATTCCAAAAATTGCATACGGATGACGATTCCTTCCAGACAAAAGGTGACAGCACAGAAAGATCTCTGTGTCCATGGACTGCCAAGAGTGGCCCACACACTGCACAGGAGAGACAGTGCCCGGCCAAGGGGTAGAGCCCCAGCCAACCCTTCCCTCTGTGCCCTGCCGCTCTCTGCAGCTGGAAAAGGACAAGAGAAGAGCGGTCGACTATGTGTGCCAGGCTTTGCCATACCTGGAGAGCCCACAGGAGCCCCTGCGAGAGGCGGCCCTCAGGTTCATTGGTGAGCCACAAGGTCCCTCCCCGCCCCGCTGCAGCTCGGCCCCAGCCCCGGCTGCTGCAGCGGCAGCAGGATGCGGCCCAGGGATGTGCTGGGGAGCCCCGAGTGCCCTGGTGGCTGCCGCCTGTGCCAGACCAGCCCTGGGGAGTCCCGAGGCGGGAAGGCCCCGGGCTCAGCTCTGCCAGGGCAGGAGGGTGCGTGGCCGGGCCGGCAGCGCCGGCGGGGGGGAGCTGTGCCGCTGGGGCCCTGACAGGGTCTGTGTTCCCAGGGATCGCCGGGAGGTACCTGCGGGGACAGTGGGTAGAGCTGCAGATCGTCATTGACGGTGAGTGAGGGCAGTGGGGGCTGGTGAGGGGAGCACATAGCCCGGGGCAGGGAGCTGCAATCCTGCCCCGGCTGTGGAGGGCTCTGCTCCCTGCAGAGATGAGGAACGGCTTGGGCAGAGCAGAGATTTCAGGGGCACGGGGGGTATTGGTGGCCAGCACCTCCTGGCTGATCCCGTTGGGCCCTGCTCCCTCCTGGCCATGGCAAGAGCTGGGTGGGATGGTCCTTGCAGGAGGGGCTTCTTGGCTCGCCAGAGATCTGCTCTCTGACCTTGGCTCTGTTCTTTTCTCTTCTAGTTATTGAAGGCATGACTCCTGACAGCACTGCTGTCAAAAGCCTGGCACTTCAAACCCAGGAAATCCTAAGAGTTGTCCAAAGACCTCAGTCTTCTCCAGGTTCCAGCGGTTTGAAGATCAGCTCCAGAATGTGCAGAATAGGGAGGTTCCTCTGTGGGGCAGCTGCCGGAGGTCAGCGGAGAACTGATCCTGGGAACCCTGTCTGATGGGACCGCCTGAGCCTGCGGGACAGACCCCTCTGTGCAACCAGTTCCTGTTCCTCCACCTTGAGACTATGAAATCCCTCTTAGCATACACAGAGGCTCAGGAGTTTTTTTTGGTGCCCGGTGTCGTCGGGGCATCTGGGAAGAGGGGAAAAAGGGCCCTTGTGCTCCACAACACTTGCCCAAAGGTGCAGTGGGGAAGGGCAAGTGCCCCAAAGGCCCTTGGCCTTGGGGGGTTCTGCTGGAGCCTCAACAGTTGCAGCAGAGCGGATGGGCAGAGCCTGGAGCTGTGGGGCTCCCTGAGAAGCTGGCCCTGGGAGGTGCCCACAAGCCCTGTGCCAGCCGGGAAGCAGCATCTGTGGCCTGGCTGTCTGTGTTGCTGTCTGGCTTGCTGAGGGCTGGGAGGTGCCTCCTGAGCCAGCTCCCGTGGAGCTCCTTCAGGGCTGCGCCGCTGCCGGGCCGGGTGTGGGGGCTGGGGAGGGCCTGAGGGGACGGGGCGCTGGGAGGCCCTGAAGGGCTGAGGGGCTGCGGAGGCCCTGCCAGGACAAGGGAGTGGGAAGCAGCGAGGGGAATGCGTGAGGGGGTGGGTGGCAGGAGGCTGCGAGGGGACAGGCTGGGCAGAGGAGGCCCTGAGGGGACAGGCTGTGGGTAGGGCTGAGCAACTGGGGGGCAGAGGCTATAAGCAGCCCCCAGGCAGCCTCCCGGTTCCCTGCCAGCCGGCTGCTCTTGCACTCACCCGGGGCATCTCCCATGCCTGCGGCAGAAGGCCTAGAGGCACACAGCCAAGGGGGCCAGGGATTCTGAACTCAAAACGCAGGCCTTTCTGGAGTGGAAGGAGGAAGCAGCGGAAGCTGAAGCAAGGCCTCCTCTGGCTCAGGTTGCAGGATGGAGGGAAGTCAGCACTGTGCTGTCTGCTGCAAAGATGGCCCAGTTCACAAGCTCAGGTTTTGCTGCTAGAGGATCCTACTTTGGCCTTGCTGGAGCCCATTCCCTGCCAATGCACGGCCCCCCATTGCTCTTGTATCAGGTGTTCTGGACCCGTGGGAACACGTGTGCCCTGTGTCCACGTGGGAGCAGCAACCGGCAAAAGACGTCTGCTGCCAGCACTTGTCTTGGCTGCTCCTTCAGGAGGCTGGCACCTTAATCAGAGACAGGGAACACGTTTGCATCCCTGTCCCTTCCACTTTCCCCAATGCCCTGGTTATCAGCTGGGAGTCACAGCCGTACACACAGCAACTGGAGCTTTGAATATCAGACTGGGCAGCTTTTATTTTGCAGAATGCAAGAAAAAAAGTCCAAATAACACAAGGAAACTTGACAGGATGTCTGATCAATCTAATCTTCCTGCAGAACTCAGCAACTGAGGGGAGTTTTGTGCTGCAGCTCATCACTTGCCCGAAAAAAATCATTCCCACAAGGAGAAAGTGTTTCTGCCTTCTGACAGCTGCCGAACAGGGCCACCAACTGCTCCAGCTGCCGCTCCCAACAGCCCCCTGCAAGAGCACAGACATCAGTGCCCGTTGGCTTTGGCTGCCCTGTGGCAGAGAAGTGCCCCAGGGGCACAGTTCTGTGGGGCAGGAGACGGGCACCAGCCCTGCCAGGACTGGGGGCGGTGGCAGGTCTCCTTGGGTGAGGACTTGCCAGAGCTGCTGATTTTGGTGCAGCCCCAGGCAACGGGATGGGAGCAGCATTGGTGCCCTCGCCCCCACGTTCCTTCTGTGTGTCACAGCCCCGTGTTCGGGAGGGCCACCAGCCGGCACTTCTCCCAAGGAGCCCGTGCCAGCTCGTGTGGAGGCCCCGTGGCCTTCCCGCTGCGGCTGCGTTGGCAGCCGAGGGGGCTCCTTCTGCTGCCGTGGGCAGGCACAGCAGGGGAGAGTTTGCTTAGTTTTTCAGCTGTGCCTAAAGTTCGTGTCCAGCTGTCTTGGATGCTTTGGAGAACAGACTCCTTCCCACCTGGGGCACGTTGGCCGGGCTAGGGGAGGCCCCAGGGCACGTGGCAGTGTGTCACAGGGCCCTTTGTGACACGGTGGGATGGCACGGGGCAGGGTGTCACAGGGCCCTTTGTGACACGTGAGGACATAGTAGCGGTGGTGAGGTGGCCACGCCTCAGTGCTCCTCGGAGCGTGCGACGGGACAGACGGGACAGAGCGGTGCTGTGCGGAGCCCCCGTGCAGCCAACTCGTTCTTTTCTGATCCGGAGCGTTTTGGTGGATTTTCTGTGCTGCGAGCGTCCTCGAGGCCAGACCGCGGGACTTGTTGACACGGAGCTTTTGCGAGGTGTCCCCAATCCCTGCGGCAGCTGCCCTTGAGGCCGCACTGCAGCACTTGCTAACCCCTAGTGTTTGCTAGGCTTTTCTGTCTTTCAGGTGTCCTTGAGCCCAGACTGCAGGACTTGCTGACCCATACCGTTTGTTAGGCTTTTCTCTCTTTCAGGTGCCCTCGAGGCCAGACCGCAGGATTGGGGACCTGGAAATTTTTTCCGGAGTCTCCAATCCCTGCGGTAGGTGGCCTCGAGGGCAGCCTGCCGGACTTGGTGACCCGGAGATCTTCCGAGGTGTCTCTCTCTTGAAGGTGCCTTCAAGGCCAGACTGTGCGATGGCGGGAAGACACCTGAGCCTGCTCAGACCCTTTCAGATGAAGAAGAAAGGCCCTGGAGCTGCCCCATCCCAGCACCTAGAGAAGATGGAGCAGTTGCATCCCCTGCAGGAAGGTGAGTGGCACAGCTGGGCCACAGGGCTGGTGGCTGCAGCCGGCTCTGCCTCATCCCACCCCGTCCCCTGTGGACATGGCCAGGGAAAGGGAGGGGGAAAGAGGGCCCGGGACTGCTCCCCCGGCAGTTCCATGCACTGGGCATGCCGGGACCGGCCCTGCCTGTGGAGCGCAGGGCTGGGCCGTGTTCTCCGGCCTGTCCCGCAGCCCCTCAGCTCTGACCGCGCTCGCTCTTTGCCAGATCCAGGCCGGGACCGGACACAAGACCAGGACCGTGCCCGTGGCCGCTTCCGCAGGGCAGCACAGGTACCTGCAGCCACAGCCTCCTGGGCTGGGCCTGCTGTCCCTGCTCAGCCTGGCACCGCTGTCGGAGCTCTCCATGGCACATCCCACTCTTCCCTGCTCTCTGTTCTTCTGCAGGCCTTTCTGAAATTCTTGGGCATTCGGCGTAAAAGGACCACAACCAGACCGACCGAGGACATGGCACAGCCTGACCACAGCCCGACTGAGCTCGAGACGGACCCTGATGTCACCACCACACTGACTGATGGCACAGGAAACTGTGATACCCCGCCTACTGTTCACGCAACAAAGTCTGACCCTGCTTTGACTGATGCTACAACAGACGCTGAGAGCCCATCAATTGATCGCACTGCAATCTCTGACATCCCGTTGAGCGATGAACCCACAAACTCTGGCGCTGCACCACCCGATCTCACTGCGGAGGCCGACACTGCAATGACCGAGGGCACTGCAGACACTGACCTCGTGCCCAGGGAGAGTGCGAACTATGCTCCCACTCCAGATATTTTTGAGGAGAATGGTGTCTCCAGTCCAGAGCAAGTAAGCAGCCTGTGCCCAAGGCTCAAGCCACTCCAGGGGGTTGTGGACCCTCAAGCCAGCTCCCCTGGGCCCTCTCAGCCTTTGAGGCCAGCACAGTGTGGTGGGAAGGGAAGCACTCATCAGGGAAGCTGGGCAAGTTGGCAGCTCTTCCCCCATGCCTCCTCCAGGTGCCAGCCTTCGTCAGGAACGTGCACCAGAGACTGACAGCCAGCGCCACTCCAGAAGAGAAGCTGCTGACGGAGTTTCTGAGGGTGACTGAGGCACACCCTGCTGATGTTGTGTTCACCCTCCTGCGCTGTGCCCCATCGTGTGACAGGTACAGGGCCTCCCTGCCTTCACGGCTCGGGGCTTACCAGCCTTCAGAGCACATCACCCTGTCCATCCCGTCCTACATGGTCTGCCAGAGGGACGGAGAGTTCCAGGACCATCTGGAGCCTCTGTTTCCCAGCCCTGCCATGTCAGCCTCCATCCTGCTGCCATGGTCCCTCCCTGCTCCTCAAGGCACTTTGGCCAGCACCCCCCTGACACAGAACTCTGGCCCCACAGAGCTGCTGCAACCCTGTGGAAGACCATCGCCTCATCGGGAAGGACAGTGGAGAAGGTGCTGCCAGAGCTGCTCCGTGTGATGCAGAACTGGCCACAGCTCAGCATGTCCACCTCCGACGGGGACAAAACGGATGTCTTTGCCCTGGCTGTGAGTTTCTGGAACTGGACTTTACTTGCCCACAGGTCACTTCTCCAGTAGCTCTCCATCCTCCCCGAGCACTGCATCTCCCTGCCTCAGGCACTGGGCTGGAAACCTGGCTTAGGGGCGGGTTCAGGGACACCAGGCTGGGGGCTGCCCCTGCGTCTTCCCTGGCCTCTCCCTCCCCCACCTGGGCTCTTTCACATGGACATCTGGGCACTGAGAGCTGTGTCCGGGTGGTTTATCTTTTGCAGGCAACCAGGGTGATTTGGGAGATTCTCCAGGTGCTCCGGTGCCCAGAGCCATTGAAAAAGTATTCCCCCCGTCTCCTCGTGGATCTGCTCTTCCAGATTTCCATCAGCCCAGAGCAGACACCAGAGGAAGTTGACACCTTGTGGAAGGAATGCCAGAAGCAATACGACCTTCCAACAGACTCCAAGAGGTGCTCTGTCCCAGTCCTCCTGACCCTCTCATGCCCTCGGGGCTGCTCAGGGCTCCCAGCGTGACCTGGGCTTTGCTCTGCACCCAGGTTTGCAGTGCTGACCATGAAGGCCCTGCTTTGTCATCTGGAGTGTGAAGATGTCGTGCTTTCAATGGAACGGAAGCGTGGCTGGGACACGCTCCTCAGGGCTGACAGCCGCCACTATGCAGTGGGTCTGCTGGCCAGGTGAGACCCCCTTGTCCCCGCTGCCCCTGTCATTTCTGCCCTCTGCACAGGGCACCCCACGCAGTGCCCGTGGTCGTGGGCCAGAGGGCCTTGTCACCCAGGGATGGCCGAGCAGAGTGGAAAAGGCTGGGAGAGGCGGGTGCGCAGGAGGAGCCGCTTGCCAGAGAGCCCTCGTCCCCTCCCAAACTG